GGCCTCCTCCGGTGCGCGGCCTCAGGGGGCCGCGCGGGGGCCAAGTCCGAAAGCGCGCAAGCCAATGCTAATCAGGATGGACCCTGGGTCGGCCGGCCCAAGGTTCGGCGACTCCAAAGGGTGCGGTTTGCAAAGGGTGTGGTTTGCAATCGGCACCCTGCGGGGCACCATGGGGGGCGGGCGGGTGCCTCGAGAGAGTTCCCCGCCGCGCCCCGAGGAGGCCGGACGAGGACAGTGTCGTGCCCTCCAGGCCCCCACGGCGCCGATCGCAAACCGCACCCTGGCGTAACCGCACCCTTTGCAGTCGCCGAAAGGTGCCCCCACCTCTTCGCTCAACTAGAAACAAAAACGCTATAAACATACACTTTAGTCCCTCCGCGAGGATGTCTTATATCTGCGCTGGGCCCCCCTCACCGGCGCGCGGAGCGCGCCGCCGGGGGCCCCCAGCGCGGATCCAAGAAATCCGCGCGGAGCGCCAAAAGTTTATGTTGATGGCGCTTGCTTTTCTTCGCTCAATGTTGGAGCCCCTGGGGCACTCTGGGCCTCATGAGGGGTGCTCTGGAGGCCGTGGGGGCCTCCCTGAACATCATGGGGGCACCATGGGCCCGCGGCATTTCTAGCAGCGCCCGACTGTGGGTCGGTCCGCACCAATCATCACTCCAGCTAAGGGCCACTCTTACAAGAGGCTCGTGTGGCGTAGGCGCTAAAATATTTCTGTCGCCGCGTCGATCGTTCAACCTTGAATCGATCACGGCCCCGATCGTTCAAAGTTTAATTCCGTGGGGTCCAGTGGCGTCACCGTGTCCATCGTTTCTTGCACCTCGCAATATTCGAACGCCTTCGCCCACTGTCGCTGGCGCGCCAACGCCACATGAACCTGCCGTACGCACAGCCGAGGTCTGTCCTCCCTCCCTTTCTGGAAGCCTCCCAGATGGGGTCGAAGTTGATGGGGTCGAAGGATCTCGCCACGTAGCCGATGCGTGGGCGACGTCGGCGATGCAGCGGTGACGTCCGCGTGGAGACGATCGGGCCCGAGCCGCACCGCCGACGCATCGGCGATGCGTAGCGATCCTCCGACCCCCTCTGCTCGGACCCCGTCTGGGAGGCCCAGGCTGCCTGAGCCGGGCGGCGCGCGAGGAGGGGCCGAGGCGAGGGCGGCCCCGGCGAGGGCGGCATGCGCCGGTGAGCGCCGGTCAGGACGGGTCTTGCGCGAGATGGCACACAGCGACCTTGCGCGGCGGCTCGCGCGGGCCGCCCGCGCGGCACGCCAAATCTGAAGCGAGGCTGCCTGCGCGCGACCCGACGCGGGCAGCCTGCGCGCCGATGTCGGCGCAGCCGACCCCGCTTCTGTTGCGTCGCGCAGGTGGCTCCTCTGCTGAAGGCCTCCTGGATGGGGTCCGAGTAGATGGGGTCGAAGGATCGCGCCGCATCGCCAATGCATCGCCGATGTATCGGCGATGCATCGGCGATGCCCTGGCGACGTCGGCGATGCATCGGCGACGTCGGGGTGGAGAACATCGGGCTCCGTACCGAGCCGCATCGCCGATGCATCGGCGATGCGGCGCTATCCTCTCCGACCCCATCTACTATTAGGTCGGGCGTGTCCCCCCACAGGCGGATTTTGGATGAAAAATTACTCCGACGGAAGGACCCCACATGATAATCTGTTTAGTTTTCCCTTATCCCTTTCCTCCCGGCCATGGCAAACACCCTCGTATCGCCCTCTCCTCTGCCATCTTTTCCTCTTCTTCTATTTCCCCCCCCCTCCTTCTCCTCCTCCTCCTCCTCCTCCTCCTTCTCCACCTCCTCCTCATCATCGCCCTCCCCATACCCCTTCCGTCCTCATCCTCCTCCTGCCTCTTTTCCACGTGCACGTCCCTTTCCCCCCGGTCGGGGGAAGCAAGTCGATTTTCCTCGGCGCCGTCGCCGCCTCGGTCAGAACGCGCGCGTTTGCCGACGGCCAGATCGCGAAGCCGTCGGGTCAACCCTTCGGGCCAGCCATGCCTGCGGGGCACTCCCGCGGGCCGCCGGAGCGCGAGGGCAGGCCGTCGGGACAACCCCGCGGGCCAGGCCGTTGGGACAACCCCGCGGGCCTCCTCGCGCGCGCCGCGGCGCTCAGGCGGGCGGCAGCACGAAGCCCAGCTCTGCCGCGAGCTGCTCCGCTTCAGCCCTGGAGTCCACCGCTCTCTCGTCGAACTCCTGGAGCGCCTTCCGCAGTGACGCCGGCGGCCCGCGCTCCAGGAACTCTCGCGCGGGCGGCCGCAGGATCAGCATGTTCCGCATGCACGTGGCGCGGGAGAACATGACGTAGAGGTGCAGCCACCACATATCGTCCGACATGCCCGTGCGGCCAGCGTCCTCATCCCTGGCGCAGTCGATGGTGACGCCCTTGCGCAGCGTCTGGCCCTGCGACAGCGTGGAGGTCAGGTAGGACGCGTGCGTCAGCGTGAATCCCGAGCGGCGCACAGTGTGCGCCCCCGAGCTCTGCCACGTGAACTCCTGCTCGTTCTCGAGGGGCCGTTTTCGCGACGCATGCCAAAGAAAAACGTACATTGCGTTCCATCCCCCTATGGGGAAATTGCAAAATGTGCTGCTCGTCATCCGCAATCATCGATTTCAAAGCGTTTCGTGAGGGTTTTCCATCGAGCGCCCGCGCCAGGCTCAGCTCCGTTTCCGGCCAACGCGATTCCCCCCCCGACGCCCGAGAAAAAAATTGCGTTAGTGACCCCTTAGTCCATTGAAACATCGGTGTTAGGAAAAGGGGGGGTCAGAAAAAAACTGGAGAGGGGACCTTTTCAAGTTCCCTCTCCAGTTGGAACGCGCGGGAAAGTGAACCTTTGCAAGTTCCCTTTCCCGCTGCTGGAGAGGGAACCTTTTCAAGTTCCCTCTCCAGTTGGAACGCGCGGGGAAGTGAACCTTTGCAAGTTCCCTTTCCCGCTGCTGGAGAGTGAACCTTTGCAAGTTCCCTCTCCAAGGGAAAGTGAACCTTTTCAAGTTCCCTTTCCCGCGAATGAAGGGTGAACCTTTTCAAGTTCCCCCTTCACTCCGACGACAAGGGGGGGCAGGGAACCTTTGCAAGTTCCCTCTCCCGCAGCTAGAGACGTCGAACCTTTTCAAGTTCCCTCTCCAGCCCAATCCTGCCACGAACGGGAAAGTGAACCTTTTTCAAGTTCCCTCTCCCGCAGCTAGAGAGTGAACCTTTTCAAGTTCCCTCCCCAGCCCAAGCGAACGCGGGAGAGTGAACCTTTTCAAGTTCCCTCTCCCGCCGACGACGACAAGGTTGGCCAGCAATTGGACGTGGGCAAGTCGAAAGAGAATATTCAGGCCGCAGGAGCGAGTTCCCCTTCGATCCTCCAAGTGACGACAAGAGACGGTCCTCAGACGGGACTACCCGCACCGCCCACAGACAAAGTTCCCGCTTGATACTTCCCCCTTGTTCAGGCCGCAGGAACTGAGGAGCCCAAAAAGCTCGCTCGGATGACCCGCTCGGGTTCGAACATGAAGTGCGTGCCCCACAGGGATGGAGCGCCCGCCTGATACTTCTCCCATATTCAGGCCTCAGGAGCCCAAAAGCGACGACAGTTACAGGTTTCCGATGACCCGCCTCGGATTGGTAAGATGATCTGCGGGCCCCATAGAGAGAGGTTCCCGCCTGAGACTTCCTCGCAATTCACTCACAGACAACGCTCCCGCCTGATACTTCCTCCAAATTCACGCCCCAGGAGCCCAAAAGTGACGACAGTTACAGGATCCCAACGACCCGCCTCGGGTTAGTAAGATGATCTGCGGGCCCCATAGGGAGAGGCTCCCGCCTGAGACTTCCTCGCAATTCACTCACAGACGACGCTCCCGCCTGATACTTCCTCCAAATTCACGCCCCGGGAGCCCAAAAGTCACAACAGTTACAGGATCCCGATGACCCGCCTCGGATTAGTAAGATGATCTGCGGGCCCCATAGGGAGAAGCTCCCGCCTGAGACTTCCTCGCAATTCACTCACAGACGAGGCTCCCGCTAGATACTTCCTCCAGATTCACGCCCCAGGAGCCCAAAAGTGACGACAGTTACAGGATCCCGATGACCCGCCTCGGATTAGTAAGATGATCTGCGGGCCCCATAGGGAGAGGCTCCCGCCTGAGACTTCCTCGCAATTCACTCACAGACGACGCTCCCGCCTGATACTTCCTCCAAATTCACGCCCCAGGAGCCCAAAAGTGACGACAGTTACAGGATCCCGATGACCCGCCTCGGATTAGTAAGATGATCTGCGGGCCCCATAGGGAGAGGCTCCCGCCTGAGACTTCCTCGCAATTCACTCACAGACGACGCTCCCGCTTGATACTCGAGTGAATGATGGACTGACTGAGTGATGTGTGACGCCAACGGATGATATCCTCATGTGATGATCATGATGAGTGAGTGAGTGAGTGAGTGAGTGAGTGAGCGATCGAGTGGTGTATGGGTAAGTGTGATGGTGCTGAGGAGGAGAGGCGTGGGTCATGATGATGATGACTGATGATGATGATGGCGGGAAAGAGGAAGAGAGAGAGAGAGAGGGTGTGAGATCCTGCGCGGGGGGTGCGCAGAGAAAACAAGAACCCCACTTTGGATGTGGGGAATAAAGCATAGCCCAACAAAAAATCAGAACTGACCCAAACTAGTGAAACAAATCGTCCCCAGACCATGGTTGACTATTTTTGAACATTCCTCCTGTAGAGACACAAGCCCGACTTGAGCCTAGATCTGCGCAGGGGCCTACCAAGGGCCCAAAGGCCTCTGGTAGGCCATCCCGTGCACTGGGAGGCGGGAGGGCCTCTGAGCGGCCCCACCCCGCGGCCTCCTCTCCGCGACGCCCCGTCTCCCTCGCGCCCTCCCTGACTTAGCGCAGCCCGGGTGAGGATAACAAGGTCGAATCGAGATGAGCATAAGCCAGGATGAGGTCGAATCGAGAATCCCTAAGGTCCTTCTTCTGCCTGTGTCCCGGCTCCCCTCTGGGTAGGACCACGATCTTGCGCATCCCCTTCGGCGGCCGCTCGAACACCTTCTGCTGCTCCCGCTGCGAGAGCGTGGAGTGGAGCGGCAGGGGGACCCATTTGCCTGCGGATCGGCGGCGGGGCCGTGGGGGGAGGGCTCAGGGCACATGAGGGTCACCCATCTCCTTGGAGGAGGGACGGCATGGGAGGAGACGGACGAAGGAGGGATATCACAACGATGGTGGTGGTGGTGATGCTGATGGTGTTGAGGTTCTGTCGATGTCGTCGATGCTGCTGCTGCTGCTGATGATGATGATGATGATGATGATGTTGATGTTGCTGGTAATGATGATCATGATGCTTATGACGATGCCGATGATAATGACGATTATGCTGATGACGATAACGATGGCGAAAACAATGACGATGACGATGATGGCTATTATGATGATGATGCGGACGATGATGATGATGATGATGATGATGATGATGATGATGATGATGATGACCATGATGCAGAGTACGATGATCATGCTGAGCTAATGTCGATGTCGATGCTGATAATGATGATGATGATGATGATGATGACGGTGATGATGTTGATGAGAATGCTGATAATGATGCTGATGACGGTAAAGGTGAGCATGCTGCTGAAGATGATATGTATGATGATGATGACGATGCTGATGATGGTAATGATGATGATAACAATGATGGTGGTGATGATGTTCATGATACTGACGATGATGATGATGATGATGATGATGATGATGATGATGATGATGATGCCGTTATTGATGCGTTAATGCCGGCGACGACAATGATGATGATTATGATAGTGTTGATGGTGATGGCAATATTGATGATGATGCTGATGATGTTGATGCTGATGGTGATCAATCCAGCGACGACTGCGAATATTGCTGGTGATATCAATGTTGATGTCGACGACGATGCTGATGATGGTGATGAGGGTGATGATGATGGCGGATACAACAGCGACGACCACGACGAATCTTGCTCGGAAAATGAGCGGGTCCCAATTCATGCGATGTCCTGCATACTTGGTCGGTTGCCCTTTCCACCCACGCCTCAGAATCCCCGTACCTCTGGCAACTTGAAAGAACAAATAATGATGTCTTGTGATTTTGCACACTGGGGGATCCGCTTCTGGGCCCGCCACGGAAGCAAGCGAAACACTGCCTGGCCGCTCCTGGGTCCGTTGCCAAGGCTTGGATTGCCACCGAAGCTCTCCCGTAGGCAATGCGCTGCCAGGTGTTGTAACATTAAGGCCGCCACTCTTGTCCTGCCAATGTACCGCAAGCGCCACCGCACGTTCTTAGCCGGCCGGCTTCTTCAGTCTCAGTGGATGCGAGTTCGCAAGTTGCCCTCACACAATCACTTCTGCGAGAAGGCCACCAGCAACTAGGGGTGCCCTCAACGTCAAGCCGCGTCACCCCCGCCGCTTCCTCCAAGCAGTGGAGCTCGACCACAAGAAAGCTTCCACGAGAAACCCAACGCTGAGACCCCGGACGTCCATTCATTTTTGGTGGGAACGTCGCGCATTCTTTCCATAGAAGAACCATCGAAACCCAAGAACCCCCGGGGCATCCTGGAGGCAAGCAGGGTGTTTCTTGGCATGGGCTTCCACTGTGCTCGCGTTACCTATGTAATAGTTGGATGGGTCTGTCGAGGATTCGCCTGGCACCCTGTTGGTGGCCGCCAAGTAGGCGTCACCGCCGCCCTCAAGTCCAGCCTTAGGTCGGGCATGTCCCCCTACAGGCGGATTTTGGACGAAACATGAAATATACTCCCAAAATCTTCAAAAATGACAAAACAGAATACTCAAACATCGTCCCCAGACTATTTTTACTATTTTGGAATATTCCCCCTGTAGAGGGACAAGCCGGACTTAAGTCCAACCCAACTCCGCTCAGCATCGGTGCCCAGACCCGGGCTCCATCCTGACTCGCTCGTCGAGGTGGACCAAGCCGTGGCGACGAGAAGCCTCCAGGAGGCCCTCAAACACGACATACGCCGGGGAGGGCCGTAATTTGTTCGACTTGTCCTCTTCGGATTCCTGGCGCTCGGCCCTCCCCCAAACATCCTACGACGTGAGGTGTTCAGCCCGACCTCTCAGAACTCCCGACCGCTTCCCCGAGGGGTTGCTCTCCATCCCGGAGCCAGTGTTGGTGGCCCTGGGGCCCGAGAACGGATCCCAGAACTGGAAGCCCGAGGAGAACGCTGGGATCGAACACATCACATCGTCGGAGATCCGAGTGCCCCCTTTCAAGTCGGGCCCTTTCAAGTCGGGGATTTAGGACGAAAAATGAAAAATATCTTAAAAATACTCCCAACATGCTCAGCCATACTATTGTCCACGATGTTCAAACTATTTCCACAAACTACGCCATTTTCGCATAATTCCTCCCGTAGAGAGACAAGCCCGACGTAAGTCTCCTTCTCCAGGTCACCCGACCTGCGCGCACCGCGCCCCCGCGGTGCGCGCCGCCTTCGCGCCACCTCGCGCCGCACCTCCTGGAGCAAGGGCAGCTCTCGGGCCCAGGCCGAGAGGAGCGACGCGCCATCATCTTCTTGGGGGGGGCACGAGAAGTGAAGGGGCCCTGGGACACACAAATCAATACACACAAATCTTCTTGGTTGAAATAACTGCACACAAATAAATGCACACAAATAAATAAATGCACGCGAATAACAGGATTCCCCATATTTTCATATATTTTCTGGGTTTCCGTCTTCCCCACCACTTCCCATATTTTCCCATAGTTCCTGGGGAGCGACGGTTAATTGTGTCTTTATGTTTTTCCCCCTCCTGAGAAAGGGGGGGACAGCAAAGGGTAGGGCAGAGACTCAGCTCGGGTGGCTGAGTTTCCCAGCGCCTCCCGGCGCCGGGAGGCGCCCATGTGTCGAGGAATGGGCCCGGCGGCGGGGCCGAAACCAGTTGCATGCAGCAGATTTCGTTCGGCCCGATCTTCGCGCCCGCGCGGGTGACGTAGCAACAAAAGCAGGTCGCCCGAGATCTGAGATCCTTCGGTGCGCCGCCATCGACAGCGAGACCTGCTCAGAAGGGAGAGGGATTGCTGCCGGTCTTCTCGGATCGCCGCAGGGGTTGCCAATGGGATGGGGGGGGCCACGAAGGAAGCTCAAGTAGGGGAATATCTGGCCGAACCTATATCTGGCCTAGGGGCAGATCGTTTCAAACTCGGTCCCCAGATCCCTCCTGCGGTCCATCTGGTGCAATTTTTCACCCCAGACCCATTGTTCAGTCCAGGGGTCCGAAAATGGCCCCAGAGTTAGGTCGGGCATGTCCCTCTACAGACGGATTTTAAACGAAAAATCAAAAAAGAGCCAAACAAGATTCAAAACATGCGGAAAAATATTCAACAAATCGTCCCGATCTGGCTCATCAGTGTGTTACGAGTGCCCCGAATGGCCTTGGGGCTAGAGCGTTCCGCTAAATGGCCACAGCCCACTGAACTGGGTCTTGATCGTCGACCCATGATTCGGTCGGGTATGTCCTCCTACAGGCGAATTTTGAATGAACAATTGAAAAATAGTGAACACAGAATCAGAAAAATGCTAAACATACGACAAAAAGACTCCCCCTACTGTGTTTTGGACTATTTAGGAATATTCCCCTCCGTAGAGGGACAAGCCCGACTCAAGGTTTGAGCGTTCCGCAAAATGGCCGCAGCCCAATGAATTAGGCCTGGACCGTCGACCCAGGACCGGCCTTCTGTTGCTCCCTTCGTACTTCAGGACTACATCCCAGAAGTAATTTCGAGCACCCGAAAAAGTGTCGCAACAGTGTCGGACGAGGGTCTCCCAGGGCCCGGCACGTGAAAACCCTCGAGTTTCGGTGCTCTCTGGGTGCTCGAAATTACTTCTGGTGAGCAGGGCTGAAGTGGGCCGAAACATCATAGGACCAGCCGGCCGCCGCCCGCGCACGCCCGCCGCCACCCCGCCCGCGGGGGCGGCACCGCATCTCCGGCAGCCCTGCAGCGCCTGGTAGCCGCGGGCGCGCACCGCGCGGGAGGGGCGGAGGCGTTGTCGCCGTCGCCGCCGCCGCCGTCGCCGCCGCCGCAATCGCAGTCGCTGCCGCACGCGGCCGCCGCAGTCGCAGTCGCTGCCGCTCGCGGCCGCCACTGCCGACGTCGCCGTCGCCGTCGTCGTCGTCGTCGTCGTCGTTGTTACCGCCGTCGCCGTCATCGTCGTCGTCGCCGCCGTCGTGGGGAGTGGGGGGCCACGGGGGAGGCTCGTCCCTGGCAGACTTCATCTCGGGCCGGACACGAGGAGAGGGAGCCTGCCCTTCCTTCGGCGACGCCCAAGGGTGTGGTTTACCAAGGGTGTGGATTGCAACCGGCACCCTTGGGAACACCCTGGGGGGCACGCTAGGGGGCGCACGGGGGTCTCGATAGAGTTCTCCCGCGCCCCGAGGAGGCCCGACGAGGACAGCGTCGTGCCCCCCAGGCCCCAGCGGTGCCGACCGCAAACCACACCCCGGCGTGATCGTACCCTTCGTGGTCGCCGATTCCTGGCGCGCAGAGCGCGCTCTCAGGGGGCGGCGGCACAGGGTGGCCAGCGCCGCACCCCCGGGGAGCCGCGCCGACGTCTCAAAGTTTCTGTGCGTGCCCTGACTCTGTCCTTCGCGCAGCTGGGGGCACGGGGGAGGCCTGTGTTGCTCCCATCGCACTCGAGTGGACGCCCGAAGTGGTACGGAGAGAATGGGTACGAAGCCCAACGACAAAGGTTGTCCCAAACCAGCAGCGGCCGCTGTTGGGCAGGCGGCCTTCTGCCTCGAACGGACACAGGCCGCGGCGGCGTGGACAGCGAGTCCTGTTCAAAGTGAACAAGAACTGCTGCTCGTCTTTGTACCCATTATTTTAGCACCCATGTCGGTCGTCCCGAATGCTGCTCCCATTGTACTTGAGGACCACATCCCAGAAATAACCCCGGGCACCTGGAGAGGCATCGAGGCACGTGCGCGGCCCAGGGGAGGGGAGCCAGGGACGTGATGAAATCAGAAGAGGCGCCATGGAATCTGGGGAGATAGCATGGCCACGGCCATGATATCCACCCCCCCCTAGTCACTAGGGGAACGCCGATCCGAGAAATCCGCGCGGACCTCCGAGTTTTTATGTTCATGCCACTTTTTGTTCCCCCAGTGACCACCCCCTTCTTTGCCGCCCCCGACTTTCGGGAGCGGCAAAGAGGGGGGTGTCCAAGAGGGGTGGTGCAAATCATGACCGGCGGCATGTGCGCGGCCCAGCGGGGGGGGCCAGGGCCGGAATGAAATAAGAAGAGGCGCCATGAAATCTGAGGAAAAGTCATGGCCCGCGCCATGATATCCACCCCCCCCTAGTCATCACCCCCCTCTTTGCCGCCCCCGACTTGAGGACCACCTCCCAGAAGCAATCTGGGGCACCCCAGGAGGCATCGAGGCAGCGCCGGGCCAGTGCCGACTCCCAGGGCCCGACGCGCGAAGACCCTCCCCCGTCGGTCTCGGGGTACCCTTCCTGGTGCTCGAGATTCTTTGGAAGGGGCCCTGGGGCACACAAATGAATACACACAGATAACAAGATCCCCCATATGTTCCCATATGTTCTGGGTTTTTGTCTGCCCCCCCCACTTCCCGTATGTTCCCATATGTTCTGGGGAATCAGCGATGAGTTGTGTCTGTGTGTTTTTGTTTCCTCTCCTGATCTTTGTGGTGACTAAGGCAAAAACGTAGATTGGAACATCACAGCTCGGGGCATGGGGGCGCGCTCTCCTCCCCACTGCGCCGGCTCCTCCCTCCCCCCTGCTCTCAGAGGCAACGGCGGCTCACTCGCCAGGGCCCAGGGGCGCCCCCAGCCCATCCCCAGCAGGGGACCGAGCTCCATGCGCCGACGCCTCTTCCGGCCCTGCGCTGAAGCTTGCACAGGAAGCCGGATCCTGGTGTGCACGGGACCCCGGTGTCTACACTGCCTGTTGCCTTCCCCGGGAAGCGGGGAGACAGAGTCTACACACCGGCGCCCCGAGGTCGCCCCCGGCACTCACAGAGTCCTGGGATCGAAACACGGCCCGCCGCTGGGACTGCCTTGGCCCCAGCTTCCGACCCAGACCCCCCCCTGTCGGGCGAAGAGAACTATGCACATGCACCGATCCTGGCAAGGCCCATTTTTGACCCAGGATCGGTGCATATGCCTTCCTGGCCAAGGTAGGAGGGCGTATGCACCGATCCTGGGCTCAGGATGGGCCTGGCCAGAATCGGTGCATGTGCATAGTTCTTTTCCCTCTACCCCTGGGCCTAGTCCCTAGTCTCACCCGTTTTCCGAGACACTCCCAGCCGCGGAGACGAGCACCGATCCTTGCCGGGACCCACCCTGGGCACGGGATCGGTGCACATGCGCTCCGGGCCTGGCCAAGGAGGCTCGCGCCCCGATCCTGGCGGCAGGAGTGCCCGGAGTGCTTGCATGCAGCAGGAGCTCGACCACAGGAAACCTTCCAGAAGAAACCCAACCCTGAGACCCCAGGCCGTCCGTCGACTTTTGCTGTGGGAGGGTCACGCTTTCCATCGTCAAACTATCGACACCCAAGCAACCCAGGGCACCCAGGAGGCAAGCAAGGTGCTTCTTGGCATGGGTTTCCACTGCAGCCGGGCGCCTTCCGACCCGTCCCGCTCCCCGTCTCCGCTCATTCCAACCTCCGTGCCGCAGGCGGCCAACCGGAGCAACCCTTAGGTCGGGCGTGTCCCCCTACAGGGGGATTCTGGACGAGAAATGAAAAAGTATCAAAACATGATCGCACATGGTCAAACATGTTTAAAACAAATATTGTTTAAATATTCCTCCTGTCGAGGGACGTGCCCGACAAAAGGTACTCATGCCTGTGTGGGGTGCTGCAGCGCGCTTGCTGCGGGGGGGGGGCCCTGCTGGACTCTGAGACGGCGTTCCCTTGCTTCTCCTCCCGCTGCTATTGATCAGCATCCTCGTGCAACTCGTCCTCGTCCTTTTCTTTTTCTCCTCTTTCTCGTCTTCCTCCTCCTCCTCCTCCTCCTCCTCCTCCTCATTTTCCTCCTCCTAGTGCGACCTCCTCATCAGAATCTCCCTCCATCTCGGTCCTCATACTCCTTCTGGTGATGCCGCTCCCCCATGTCCCCACTCCTCTCCTTCCACCTCCTCCCTGTTCCCTCATTATCCTCGTCCTGCCCCCATTATCCTCTCCGAAATGCCGTGCCATGCCACGTAAAGGGCGTCCTGAATGCACTTGCGGATCTCTCCCATGCCAGGCATGAAAATCCGCTGATCCCCGCACGAGAGGATTGAGGTGAACACCAGCCCGGTATCGGCAGGGCCAGGTCTGAGATGACGCGGCTCCGTGATCTGATCTGTACTGGGGCGGCGGGGGGGGAGCCCAAGCCGAACCCGAACGCATCGAACGCATCTCCTAACCTTATGATGTTCCAACCTACTTGAGCCTTGATCACCAGAAATAATTTCGAGCCCCCCGAGAAAATACCGAAACTCTCTGGTTTTCACGTGTCGGGCTCTGGGAGACACTCGCCCGACACTGTTTCGACACTCTTTCGACACTTTTCCGGGTGCTCGAAATTATTTCTGGTATGTGGTCCTTAAGTAGGATAGGAACGACATAATCCGAACCGTGATCCTGATCAGGAATCGAAGCATCGGTCCCTGGACCTCTCCTGCAGGGCGCTCTGACCAATATCTCGAGGCGGTCTGCGGGTGATGGGGGAGAGCATGCTACGCATGGAATGAATTCAATGAAATTCAAGTGCGGTGGATCCGTGAGTGGATCAATCTTGATTGATGAGGCTATGATGCCTCTTTTGATTTTGAGCCGGCTATGATGCCCGCTCGTGCCCACCCCGTCCCGTCTTCAGGGACTTCGCATCCCCCTATGATGGTAGGATGGGAAGACGGGCCGCCGCCCCTGGCACTGCACGTACGGCGCCAGGTTTGTGGGGATTTGGTTCGACCCCCGCAGTTCCGGCGATGGAAACTGCAAGGGGTGTGAGGCCTCATGGTGGTCCTCACTGGTAAGGCCTATGATGGTCCTCACCAGGGGGGGGGGGGAGGGCAAGGGCGGACCAGGAGGAGGAGGACAGGGAGGAAGAGGAGGACGATGACGAGACAGCTGAGTTCAATGAACAGATTGAGGGCGAAGGCCTATGATGGTCCTTCTTCCCAAAACGAGCCTTGCTGATGGCCCCGAATTGGGTGCGAGGTGCCTATGATGGCCCCTCTGGTTGCCTATGATGGCGGCACTAGACGACCGGCAGGGGACTGGGTCCCGTTCACGGTCCATCAGGGGTGAGCATGCTACGCATGGAATGAATTCAATGGAAATAAATCGCAGTGGATCCGTGAATGGATCAATCTAGACTGATGAGGCTATGATGCCTCTTTTGATTTTGAGCCGGCTATGATGCCCGCTCGTGCCCACCCCGTCCCGTCTTCAGGGACTTCGCATCCTCCTATGATGGTAAGATGGGAAGACGGGCCGCCGCCCCTGGCACTGCACGTACGGTGCCAGGTTTGTGGGGATTTGGTTCGACCCCCGCAGTACCAATGATGGAAACTGCGAGGGGTGTGAGGCCTCATGGTGGTCCTCACTGGCAAGGCCTATGATGGTCCTCACCGGGGGGGGAGAGGGCAAGGGCGGACGTCCACCAACAACGTTCGTCGTGCTCATCCTCCATGAGGTCGAGGTGCTGCCCGCACTGCCTGTATCGCGGCTCTGATGGGGTGGAGACCAGGAGGAGGAGAAGGAGGAGGAGGACGACGACGAGAAAGTTGAGTTCAATGAACAAATTGAGTGCGAAGGCCTATGATGGTCCTTCTTCCCAGAACGAGCCTTGCTGATGGCCCCGGATTGGGTGCGAGGTGCCTATGACGGCACCTCTGGTTGCCTATGATGGCGGCACTGGACGACCGGCAGGGGACTGAGTCCCGTTCACGGTCCATTAGGGGAGAGCATGCTACGCATGGAATGAATTCAATGAAATTCAAGTGCGGTGGATCCGTGAGTGGATCAATCTTGATTGATGAGGCTATGATGCCTCTTTTGATTTTGAGCCCTCTAACATCCCCTAACCGTGACGCTGCTCAGGAATCGAGGCATCGGTCCCTGGACCTCTCCTGCAGGGCGCTCTGACCAATATCTCGAGGCGACCTATGGGCCATGGGCGATGGGGGGGCCACACATTCCCCTCTGCACCTCTCCCCCTGAACACCCCCTGACCGTGACGCTGCTCAGGAGTCGAGGCATCGGTCCCTGGACCTCGCCGGCGAAACGCTCGGACCAAGATCTCGAGGCGGGCGGCCCACCCGCCGTGACCGCGAGGGCGCCGGGGAGATCCAGCACCTCCAGGGAAGCGAGCCTCGAACCTCGAACCTCGATCCTCGAACCTCGAACCTCGAACCTCGAACCTCGAGCCTCGCCTCTCGATCCTCGATCCTCGAACCTCGACCCCTCAGAGACCTCGCTCCTCGAGCGGGACTTGGCGGCGCGCGCCAGGGGGTGGAGGGAGGGGGGAGGGTGTCTCAGAAGGAGGCTGCTTCTCAGAAGGCGCTGGCCGTACATCTACAGACAGGGGCCGCGCCTTCTTAGAGGCATGGGTCGGCGGTGGGCAAACCTCCATTTAGTAGACCTCCCCTCAGTGAAAACGGCCTGGGACCGAACTCGACGGACCTGGACCCGCAAAAACGACGGCCGCGACGCCCTCTCGCGAACCGAAAGCGGCCAATTCCTGAATCGGCGCGTCAGGGTAGGAAGTCCGTCCAACCCCGAACGGGTGCTTCTCGGAAGCCCTCCCCCCTCCCCCCCGCCCCCCCCCCCTCTGCGCGTGGCTCACGGACCGCCAGCGCTGCCCCCTCGCCGCCCCCTCGCCTCCCCTGCTCCCCGCCCGCGGTGGGGCGTGGCCGGCAGGCGCCCCCGATGAGCACCGCGCCCTTGGCCTCTGCGCCCTCGCCCTCGCCCTCCAGGGAGTCCAGGAGGCTGTCGTCCTGCGGGGGTGCTCTTTTTGCTGCCTTGCCCTCGGCAGGCCACTCCACCTCTGCGGGTGACCCAGAGAGGGGGGGGGTCCAGCTGGAGGGTGGTGCAGCAGATTTGGGGCAAGTGTCTTGCGAACGTGGTGCGCCGGAGAATGGTATTGCACTGTACTGAAGGTAATGGGTTGCACGCGAGCGTGCAGCAATACATCTGCGCCCCAGGATGTATGGCACGCCCCAGGTGCATTGCAACCCCACAAACCTATTGCACCAAATCTATGGCACCACTCCCCTGTCGCTGGACCCCCTTGTGGGCCAACCCGAATCTCAAAGCATTCTGGCAGCACGAGGGAGTGCCGCCAGCCTCCAGGTCGGCCTACAACTCAGACCGGGGGCCTCTCTCAAACGGTGATGCCGTCACTCTCAGGGTGCACACCACGGCGGATTCTGCGGGGGTCGGACGGGGGGCCTGGGCCTGTGGGAGGCTCAGACATCGGCACCGACGCCTCTGTCGCTCCCAGCGAACTCCAGGGCCGCGTCCCAGAAAAAAAACATCCTGGGCACCCAGAAAGGTCTCGAGACAGTGTCTGCCCGACACGCTGGCGCAGTGCTCAGCGACGATCGCCTCCCAGGGCGCGACACGTGGAACCCCTCCCAACGTCGGCACTCTCCTGGTGCTCGAAATTCCTCCTGGTGGCCGAGACCGAAACGGGTCGGAACACCCCAAGCCGACACCAGCAGCGGCCGCTGCCGTCCGTGGGGTCCAGCTGTGGGGGCAGCTCCTCGGAGACGCCCCGCGTCACTGGCGACCGGCACGCCAGCTCTCGGGACGCCAGCCCGGCTCGTCGACTCGCATCGGTACGTCTGCTCGTGTCGGCCTGGCACGTCAACCGGGGTGCGTCGCCTCGGTCCGTCGACCCTGTGCGTCCACTGCGTGTCAGCTACGGTGCAGAGTGCACTCTCTCCAGGTTGCTGTCTCCTCGGGGGGTGTGCTGAAGAGGGGGGCAATCCCTGCCACCCAGACGCACACGCACACAGCCCTGCACCGAGGGAAGAGGGCCCCAGTCTCGGCGATGGTTGTACTGCTCGGGCTTCCCGGGTGGCCGCAAAATCACCACCAGCACCAACATCCAGGATGTTCCCCCAGTGGAGAGACACCCCCCGCGCTGGTGCTGGCACCCACCTGCGGGCCTCCAAAAGTAGGGGGGCTTCCAGGCCTCCGTAAATAGGTGGACTACCACCCGAGAGGTCTCCGAGGGAGCGGCACGTCTGGGTTTAGGTCGGGCATGTCCCCCTACAGGCGGACGTTGCAAACAAGTGCCCCAAGATGGTCACACATGGTAAGAGAATCGTCCCCCGACTCTTTGTCGACCATGTTTGACTGGTCCCCCTGTGGAGGGACAGGCCCGACTGAAGCCTAGCTTCCTGCGAGGCGCGAAGACAACGTCCCTTCGCGCCCTCCCGCGCCCTCCCGCGGCCCTCCGGGAGAGACGGGCAGCCGCTCTGGCGCCCAGAGCGCGGCGCGCGCGGCGCGCGAGGGCCTCCGCGCCCCCGCGAGTGGCCGGGGCAAACGGCCGTGCAGCCCGACGAAGGGGCCATGAAGCCGGGCTCCGGTCGGGCCTGCCCTCCTACAGGGGGGCGCTTTTGGACGAAGAATCCAAAGTAGCCAAACAGATACGCGAAGGTAGGCAAAGCATGATGGGGAAAGTCGTTCCCAGACTATGTGTTGACTATGTGTTTGGAATATCCCTCCTGTAGAGGGACAGGCTTGACTTAAAAGCCAGGTTGAGCCAGGAGATTGGAAGATTCGGTGGGATCAGCGTGGACCAGAGCATACTCGCACCGCGAGCATGCCAGGTCAGAGTTGCACCAGGGGTTGGCTCCGGCGTCCACGGCAACAGCAGAACCGAAAACCGACCGAACGGACAGCGGAACCGAAACCGACCGAGACAAGCGGTCCGTCGGTCCCGGTCGGTTACGGTCGGACCGAGCGCAGCATGGAAGGACGCAGCGGCGCAGCACCCGACCAGACCGAACCACCCGGATGCAGCAGACTGCGAAGCACCCGAATCCACCGAACCGCGGGCACCCATCTTGGTTCGAGGATGAACGCCGTTCCCCGTTTGCTGGTGGCATCCGTCGCCTCCTCTGTCCAGAAGCGTCTCGATAGCAACTGGCTTTCCAAGATCTAGAGGACCCTGCTCACTGCTGAAGGCTCCTGGGCGATGTCAGGTGTGGGCTTGATCCCAAGCCCTTGCTAGGCCCTGACATTAAAGCTG